ATTTTTTGACTATACTGTGCAGCTAGTATGTGGCACAGCCAGGCTACACCTGGGGCCGACTGCGTGCCCTTCAGGCCATCCACCCCAGGCTGGCCCTGTCCACCCAAGGCCATCCCCGTCCACTCGGCCGGGCCATCCCCAGAGGAAAAAGCATGGCACCTGAGCAAAAAGGTGTCTGAAGAAGACCTCCAGGATGCGGCCCCGCTGCTGCTTGGTCACCGCCTCCCTGAGGAGCTGGCTCTCGTCCATCTCAGCCACGTGGAGGCCCAGAGTCCAGCAGGCACACAGGTCCCGCAGCAGCTGCACGAAGGTGCCGCGCTCCTCTTCGGAGTTAAACTGCAGCACCTGGGTGAGAAGGTGGCCCCACTGCAGTGCCTGGAGCTGGGCTTTCGTCCGGGACAGGGCAGCAGCCTCTGAGGCCCAGGCAAGTCTGCGGGTCTGTGCCGGCAGCCCCTCTCCCCAGCAGGGGCCTGCAGCAGCGGAGGCAGGCCAGGCCGTACCAGGTCGTACTCCTTGGGGATCTTGAGCAGCAGGCTGCGGCGGCCGCGATTGCTGGACAGGACGAGGTGGACCTGCTGCAGGGGCCGCAGCTGCACGGTACGGAGCACGGACAGACGTCTGTCCAGCACCTGCAGGGTCCTGTCTGGGAGCAGCTGGACGGTGACGGGATAGCTCCTCTCCATGGGGCCCGGCCACTCCATCGCTGGGGCAGGGACAGTGGGGCAGCAGTTTAGCCCAGAGCCAGCTTCCTCGGGGCTGGCCTCCCCCTCCTCTCAGCCCTCGGCCCTGCTCACCCATCACGCCGTCTTTGGCTGCTTCCTTCTTCATACTGTCTTTGCCTTTCCTTTGCAGCCTCTTGCGCTCTCGGTTCCGGAAATGGGCGATCACCCCCGCAACAACCAGGCTCGCTGCCGGGGACCAGAGGAGAGCTCGGCCTCCGCCCTCCTCCTAGCCTGGCCTGGAGCTGGACCCAGGAGGGGGCTCTACAGGCCAGCAGGTAGGGAGCGGCCCGCTCGGTCTTGGGGAGGCAGAGGGCGGAAGAGGGGAGAAGCTCACCTAGCGGGAAGCAGCAGAGGGCCACGATGATCAGGCCGTACCCCGCACCGCTGCCCGCGAAGTAGTCGAGCACAGTGAGGGGTACACAGGGGGGCAGGTCTCCCGTGGTGAGCTGCCGGGGCTGCAGGCAGGGGTCCCCTGAGGAACAGGGCACAGAGCAGAGTCTAAAGTTGCCGCTCCTAGGGCAGGCCCCAGCCTTTGTCCTGGAAAGGACCGAGTTCCCGCCACTCTCCCCAGCCACCCTCCCTGGAACGGGCTCCTCCTCAGTCCCCGTCCTTGTCCTATTGCCCAGCATCTGCCCAACTTGCCTGTCCCCGTGCCGGCCAGTCCACACCGCGGGGACCCGCCCAATGCGGCCATCCCCAGCCTGGCTCCCTGCACAGCAGCACGTGATGCCACCCCACGGCCTCCGTCCTTCTCTGACCACGGTCACCTGTGGTGTCTCAGGCCACCCACCTTCTTGCCAGACAAAGACGTTGGGCTGCAGGGTCCCGGCGTCCACCCCGGTGACAGTGACCAGCACGTCTCGCAGAGTGGTGTTTCTGATTTCCGAAATCTCTTCCTCAGAGAACAGCCTAGGGTGGGAGAGGTGGGAGCCGTGGGGTGGGGAGGGGACTCAGGCCTCCATCAGCCCAGATCCAAGGAGCCAGGTGTGACGAGACCAGAGGGGGCGGTGGCCATCAAGGGCCTTTCGGGGCTGCGTAAGCCCAGGCAGAGACCCAGGGCCCGGCTGGCCTTACCCATTCCTGGTGTTCTCAAACCAGTAGCGGTCGCCATCCCGAAGCCTCACAAACTGGCTGAGAACGATGGTGCTGAACAGGGGCGCCTGGTCCCCGTGGCTCTCCAGGAGTCCACCGAGGAGCAGCTCCAGCCGGGACAGCTCCTGGTTGTACAGGGCGGCGGTGGCCTCCAGCACCTGGGCACCATGGGCAGTGATGTGTGTGTGTCTGTGTGGTGTGCTGTGCATAGCCACTGAGACCTAGGAAGTGTCCTCCTCCTGGCCAGGCCACTTGGGGTGGCCACACATCCGCTAGGAGGACTAGGGTGTCCCTACCATGGTAAGACCATTGTCAGGAGCCTGAGGAACACTACCCATTGCCTAGCCTAGGCGATTAGCAGCCCCGGCCCCCAGGAGCGGGACAGTGGCGGCTGCCCAGCGAAGACTCTCAGCAATGGCACAGCAGAACGGTTCAGAACATCCAGGAATGCTGAGGCCTGCCTTACACCATTCCCACGCGCGTGAAACGAGTTCACATGGAAGGTCTTAGAACAGCACTGCCACAAGAAAGCTTTGTCCGCCACCATCATTGTTATGATTGCTGACCTGGGGGTCCACGTGGGGGCCGAGGTCACTCCAGTTCTTCGGGGGCTCCAGCCCGAGGGCCTGCAGGGCCTGGATGTAGCTGGGTAAGCCCATGTCCCGGCCGCGTTGGATGCTGCTGGCCACGTAGTCCGTGCGGGAGTACTTGTCAGGGCCAGGCCAGTAATCTGAGAGGGAGAGACTGGGCTGGTGGCTTGGTGTTGTTGGCTCAGCACTGCCAGCCTGGCGTCAGAAGCCTGGCGTCCCGCTGCTGGGCACTGTCCCCCACCCCTCCAGCACTCCTAAGTGAGATGTGTCTCTGAGTCAACCTTGTCTTGCTTGGAGGCCGGTGTCCCCAGGTGTCACCACAGTTTCTCTGACAAGACTTTTCCTCTAAGATTTAAGATGGATCTTGGTACCAAGAGAAAATGTTCCACCCTGGGCCTTGCTTCCTTGACGACAGAGCTGGATGAAAACCTCTGGAGACCTGACTCGCTGCGGCACCCCTGTGTGCCCCAAACTTAGACACAGTTACGATCAGAGCGACACAGGGCTGAAAAGGAAGGAACAACCATCCACACCCCCTTTCTTCCAGCGGCTGTTGGACGTCTGTGTGCGTAGCCACCCCTCCAAATTCTGGGGACCCTAGCTCTGCCCACTGATGACCCAAAGGGCCCGTCTCCCAGCCTCTGACCCCCAGGCCTTCTTGCTCTGAGCTCACCCCTGAGATCTTCAACCACTATTCTGTCTTCCCTCTCCGAAATCTGGGAGGCCATTCCCAACAGCAGTTCATCCACGTCCTGGGCACTGTTCAGATTGGGGTTCTGAAAATAAATAGTATATTCAAGGTAGGCTGTGGGTACCCGCAAAGGTCAGACGCTCTCATCCCAGACCAGTGCACCCCACGTCTCCCTCTCTCTCTCTCTCTGAAATGGGACTTGCTATGTCGCTTGAACTTCCGGGCTTAAGTGATCCTCCGGCCTCAGAGCCTCTGGAGTAGCTGGGACGAGTGGTATGTGACCACCACACTCAGCTCTTCCCAGGCTCTCTTTAGCAGTTGCCCCCAGGTAGTTTTTTCTGCCCTTCACCTCCCACCAACCTGCCAAGGCAACAAGCAAGAACCAAGGTTGCTGCTCTTGCACTGTGTGAAGATGCTGACCGGGTCCCATCCCACCCAGACCCTGCCCTCACGGCCCCAAGCTGACCTCCCGACTCCAGTAGCTGTTGCAGACCCTGAGAGCCGGAGAGCCGCGGGAATCCTCGCTCAGGACCTCCCGGAAATGACAGTTGGTGTTTCTGCCCCGGGGAGGAGGCGTCAGAGAGGAAAGTCAGAAGCTCAGGTGGGAAGCTGAGAAGGGCTGGGAGGGGCCGGCCAGGGTCGAGGGGTGGTCCCTGAAATTCCCCAGCGCAGCAGGATTCCCGGGTGTATTTTATTGAAGGCAGAGTGAGCTGTTTGTCCACCCAAATTCTGACCTTAGGAAAGCCAGTGGGCTGCGCTGCTAAGACCTCACCTCCCACCCCATGGTGCTGCTTCCGGCTCCCCATATTCTGCTTTCCCTCTCCAGTGGAAGAGGTCAGTGAAAGGCCGAAGCCCCAAGACCTCTCCTTAGCGCTTGCACCAGCGCTGAGCCCCGCCCCTGCCGGTCCCCCACACCTCATGTACACTCCGGGGGGCACCATGGTGGACAAGAACTGCTCAGAGGCCACCACGAACTCCGGGGAGACGCTGGGGTCCAGAAACGGGCGGTACCCTGCGGGCAGGGAAAGAGGCCACCGCTCTGAGCCTTCACCCCGCCCTCGCCCACCCACAACCCCCCAGCCCCCGCCAGCCCTCGCTTCTCCCTCCCCGGCCCTCACCTTCATACTTCGGGGGTGTCTTCCCCAGGAAGCTGGGCAGCCACTCGTACATAGCGATGCTCTGCGGGTCAGAGGGGACAGACAAGCAGGGGCTGGAGCCGGCTGGGCGAGGGGGAGCTGGGCGCACGGACAGGGACCTCACACAGGAATGGGGGGCTCGCCCAGGAGCAGG